TCTGTCCTCTTTTTTGCTCATAACTACGATATATGCTGATGTGGAGTTTTGTAGCGAGAAATTTCTGCATTTCTGTGTGGGAGGCAAGAGATCACGTTACTTCCCAAAGCGGCCTACAGGATTTTACGTCATATGCTTGAACTAAGTGACTCATAAGATCGCTGAAAGATTGTTCATCGATCGGAATACTGTGTAAGCGTAAAAAAGTCAAATCATTGAACCACGCCAAGGCATCAATAGAAAGGAGTAAAAAACTCCTGATTCGAATTGCATCTGGATCACTTATTAACTAAATGGGGACCACTTTGTACAGAGAAAGCAGAAGACTAATCGCTGCAGTGGCCATATAGCAGTACATATTGGTCTTAAAAATAAGACAGTGAGACGCACCCATTTGGCACCACTAATAAGGAGATGAACATCCAAGCACGAAGTGTATGTTTGAAAGGAGATCACAGCTAATACCATAATAGAAAATTAGGGGCAATCGACACCACGAGTATTACAGAGCCTCTGTTCGTTACCTTCTTTACCAAAGAAAAATTTATCCACCTGTTAGCGGTCGATTGAATTCGCTGGCACCTATAAGCGAAATGAAAGAAACAAGTTCATTCGTTTTTCGAATGGGACTGTTATCAGCACAGCGTTATATTTTTATGGCAGAAAAATTAGAAAATAGTAAAAAATATTTACAGGCCTTCCGTCAGTTTTGAACGTCAGCGTTGCATATTGATCGAAAGAATACTATTCAAGCAGCCGAAACGAAGTTTCTTTCAACGAAAGCAGATTGAACGTGAAGTTTCGCATGTATCAGAACACAGTATTCTAAATACCTTCATGTGACCTGCATATTTTACTCATTGTCAGTCTGCAAATATTATGGTTTGAACAGATGATGATGCAAAAGATTATTTCTCATGAATAAAGTTATGGGAAGATGCCCAAGAAGCATAAGGAAGATCGAGTGGTTGAATTAAATTGAGCTGCTGGCACTGTCCACCTTACACATTCAGACCATAGAGACTGTCCAATCGATTCAAGATCGAGATTACTGGATAAATTTCTGGAACCTTCTTCTATATTGCCAGAGAAGAGCACTTAGCTGTGAAAACAAATAACAACAGAAATGGCACGTTGTGCTGATCATCACACTGAAGAGTCAGCCCTCAGACGGGTTAGGGCAAATTTCAGCCCTAAGAGGCGCTCCCATAAAACAACATGGCCATACCTCTAGCCAATTCTGTTATAACCATGATGAAACACAGTTCTCGAAAGGCTGCACTGAAGCAACGCCGTTTGGCTAATTCCTTGTTCAAGAAAACGGTTAAAAGACAGTTGTTTCTTTGCCTGGAGTCAGGTCCAGCATTTGCGCAGTTCGAAGCAGACCTCTTACCATTGTTCTACCGCTCCCTCCCCTTCCGCCAGCGAACGAACGAATGACAACTGAATAAATCTTTTAATGAATGAATTAAATTAAAGAACGGACGAATTAATGAATAGAACACGTTTGTCATAGTCGCTCTAAATGTTACGAATTGAGGCGATGCACTGCAGTTCACTTAGCTCCTTTCGCTCTCTGAGAGTCCTAGAAGGAAAAGGTACCAATAGTGGACAAGGGCTTCTCCATTTGTCTCGTCGCTTGCCGCTAAGATTACTTTCAGTTTTATTTTTTGTTTCAGTTTGAAATGATCATTATTAGCAAGGTCCTTATTAATTGACTCCTTTAAAGTTTACACTCCTCTGTTTCTACAGTAATAAAACGCCACATTCTTGCAGCAATTGAAAAATCAGCGGTTTGAATTACTAGCGAATTTTCCTGACTTTCAAGACTGTAATATATGAAGGCGTACTTTTTAGGTGGCATTTCGTAAATGGTAATTACATGCCATGTTTCACATAAAGATTGAACCTAGCTAATCATTGCTTCTTCTTGCCAATTCGTTTGGTTGATTTTCTAGCATGAACCCTCACCAATCTTTTTCAAGGTCCTGCATTTCTTTGGTTGGACGGAGCAGCAGCATCAGGAACACCATTCCAAGACTTCCAGACTTTGACTAATCATGGAGCTAAATTTTATGAGCTGAATCCAAGACTCGACAATTCGTTGAGTCATTTTGTCCGCGGTTGGTAACCTGGAATTCGTCCGTGTGACACAATATTTTTTCTAAGATATTTTGAAGGATGAGTCTCTCCACCGTCTCTTCATCACGTGTCTAAATTTTTGCTATTGCTTTCTGTAGATTTCAAGCAGCTTCAACTCGAAGATATCTCGAGCACTCTTCTGAACTTTTTCGAGCTTCATCCAACCGTAAATTCTTCCAAGAACCATGTACCCTGGCTCACAATCATTAGGTCGGTGTCTGTCACTGGTTTATACAGGAGAGTCGTTCTTACAAGTCGTGAGCACTT